AATTTAACCAAAATAGACAAAGATTAGATTAATTTTAACCGTTATTATACTGTTATAAGATAAATATTCAATTTTCTAACTGTAATATTAGATAAATTGTACGTAAGAAAAAAGTAAAACAAAATAAACAAAATCCACGTGATTTTTAACCGTTAATTTGGATTCATATCCAAATTGTGTAAAATACTAAGGTTGAAGGACACTCATCACAAATTACACCTCTGAAAAAGGAGAAGNGCTGTTATAAGATAAATATTCAACTTTCTAACTGTAATATTAGATAAATTGTATGTAAGAAAGAAGTAAAACAAAATAAACAAAATCCACGTGATTTTTAACCGTTAATTTGGATTCATATCCAAATTGTTTAAAATACTAAGGTTGAAGGACACTCATCACAAATTACACCTCTGAAAAAGGAGAAGAGTAACGTCTTGATTATCAAAATTTGGGCCGAAGTTTTATAACTTGAATTTCACAAAAAATCAACTATGCGAAGAGAGTTTCAAGGTCTTAACTCAATAGTATTATTATCTAACTAATTTTAGAGTGAAAGAAGTATTAATTTGAGCCAAAATTCCCAGATATAGNAGAGTAACGTCTTGATTATCAAAATTTGGGCCGAAGTTTTATAACTTGAATTTCACAAAAAATCAACTATGCGAAGAGAGTTTCAAGGTCTTAACTCAATAGTATTATTATCTAACTAATTTTAGAGTGAAAGAAGTATTAATTTGAGCCAAAATTCCCAGATATAGAGGATCTGAATTCGGGGAAGTGAGTAAGGTAACTACTATAGAGCACTTGGGGAGCCACAAGGCCAGACAAATAGAGGGATTGGACTTTATTTGACCTTCCAAAGAAATAATTAAAAAAAGAAAGAAGTTTTTATGCACTAGAGAAAGACCGAAACAGAAAGGCAATTGCATTGCATTAAAAATTTCAAGGGGAAGAAATTCAATTAGACAAAACATGTGGGTGCTCTTTAAAAATTCCTATAATGTGTCCAAATAGCGGGAGCCAGGGGCAAAAAAACCGAAAAAAAGAAAAGGGTAAATTACACATGACCCCTTTGAACTTAGGGTTAATGGCACGTCATGAGGGCTATTTATGATGATATTCTTGATGTGCAAATATATGTGGATGACATCATCTTTAGTGCTACTAATTATAACCTATGTGAAGATTTTGTTAAATGCATGAGTAATGATGTACCACCATTCAAATCCTTTTGGTTTATTGCTTGTTCATTAGGTGTAAACTCAATTTGCCTTGTATCATATTGAACTACATGAAGTTGGCTGCTAGAGTTTTTGGAACTTTTTAAATAAGCACAAATCATGAGGAGGTTGTGGTTGGGAAAATGTTCTTTGATAGCACTACATTGAAATTGATGGGAATCAAGACTTTGGAAGAAGTCATTGCCAAGGAAAAGCGAATCATGGCGAGAGAGGAAGTTTTTGAAGAAATGGAGAAGAATTTTCTTGGAAGAGATGAGAATCCGGAGAAAACCGAGGAAATTCATGGCTTTAATAACTATGAAACGGGATAAACCAACTCCACGACTTGTTATGCAACAATGAGAGATCTTGAGCCTTTACGTCAATCTGTGGATGACTTTACTTCAAGCATGAAAGATCTTCACACCAAAGTTGATGGGGGTGATGAACTATCTCTACAAGAAGTTTGGACCTCCACCGCCTCCTCTTCCTCCTTCTAGTCCTCCTTTCATGGAGTACTAATTTGGATATTCGTCTCTATCTATTATGAATTAAGACTCTTAAAAAGGAAGCACTTGTTAAAAACTTCTAGGTTGTTGGATGTTTTCCAAGTATGTTTTTAAGTTGTGTTGGAAGATTTTGATGAATGTTTCTATGCTTTGCTATGGATGCTTAAAGTTTATGAATGTCTTGTATTAGCATTGGACATTGACTATGTGTATGGCTATGAATGGATGCGTTTCATTACTTTGTTCTATGTGAATGTGATTAAAAATGCTATTAGATAATATCTATACGTTTTAGTGAAGTTTATTCTCTACCCCTAGCAAATGATTGGTGATGGATTGTGGTGTTTTGATGATGCCAGGAGGAGAAATATATGAATGGTTGCCTAGATACGGTTACTTATGTTATAAGTGACGTAGACATACTTTGAATGACATATACATACTTTGGATGTATGCTATGATTATTATTTTTTTGAAAATGAGTGTATTGGCTAAGGGGGAACTTCAAATGAAAAATCTATGTTGTTGAAACATCATTGAATGAATGCTTTTGCTCAAGGAGAGCAAAATTCACTATGCATAATTCTTGATTGATTAAAAATGGGGAGAATGTTAACCCGAAACCTGAATAGCATGATTTTGATGATAACAAACATGCCAATGTGGACTAATGGTAGTATTAGTGTGTGGACAAGGTTAGGTTAAAAGAGATACAAAAAGGAATGATCAAACAAGATAAGAAAAAGACGCGAAATGGTAAAGGAAGAAAAGTAATTCGGAAGGCTATTTGGAAGGACAGATGTACATCCGGCAGACCATCAGAACCCAATGCATTGTGTCGGAAGCCTATCCGGTTGACCGAATACCATGTACAACATGTCGGATTTGAATGCATTGGCAAAGGGGCACTGACACCCGAAAGTGGCTTCAGCATACCGTAAGCCTATATGGTATGCCAAACGTGTTGACAAACAAGGCAAAGATAGGCACACATCTAGAAGTGTTTATTTGGATGACCTCGGTATATTTCTATAATTGACTATGGAAATAAGAGAATGAAGAGACTCATTTGGAAGATTAGATGACCATTTGACAGATTGGATGTAGNAAGAGAATGAAGAGACTCATTTGGAAGATTAGATGACCATTTGACAGATTGGATGCAGTCGCCGTTACGCTGGTAACATACACATTCAACAGCCTATCTGGCATACTGAAAAATCTTCTGGAAGTGACATTTTTGTCTAAAATTTTGTGACAACTCAGCTAATTCTCCATTTANTGAAAAATCTTCTGGAAGTGACATTTTTGTCTAAAATTTTGTGACAACTCAGCTAATTCTCCATTTAAGATACCCAAATTATAAATAGGGGGTGTTAGGGGATTTGAAGAATAATTGTTGGTTATTTTGACTTTAAGCAAAAACAAAAAGAGAGTTTTTTGCCATTTGTTTTTGACCTCGTAAAGAATCTTGTCTTGTAAAAGTTTTCATTGTCTTCATTCTCACTAGTGCTAAATGCTTTGATTGTATTGAGTGAGAAAACTATCAAGCAGAAGAGATGGAGTTTTTTATTCTATTTGAAATGTGCTAAGAAAGGGTGTTTTACTTATATCAAGAAGAAGAAGATTGTAAGGGGTTTTGATTTTCACCCATTGAAGAAATTCACGTTAGTGAAAGGGAACTCCAAAGGGAGAAAGAGGGAGAAAGAAGAGAGGAAGAGGTCAAATGTGTTGGGGGACTAACCTCTATAAATCTTGTATTTGATCTTCTCACTCTTAATCTTATATTCATTAATTGCTCACATTTACATACATTACGTATATTTTGTTCATAGATTTACATATAAACAAAGCAATTTTACAAATAGTGAAATTGATTTTTAAGTAAGCAATATTAGAAAAAACCTAATTTACCCCCAGATTGCAATTGAGCCAACATCCCCTCCTTTATCGCCGATCAAGAATAAAGTAAAACAAATTATATACATGTGCTAAGTGCTTTTTTTATTAGCGACGTATTTGGCTATAAAGGTCTTTTAACGAATTTAATTCATTCATCTTGGTCCAATCTACCATAATATGATTTATTAAGTAGCTTAAGAATGAATTAATAGTGGTTGNAAGAGAATGAAGAGACTCATTTGGAAGATTAGATGACCATTTGACAGATTGGATGTAGTCGCCGTTACGCTGGTAACATACACATTCAACAGCCTATCTGGCATACTGAAAAATCTTCTGGAAGTGACATTTTTGTCTAATTCTCCATTGAAGATACCCAAATTATAAATAGGGGGTGTTAGGGGATTTGAAGAATAATTGTTGGTTATTTTGACTTTAAGCAAAAACAAAAAGAGAGTTTTTTGCCATTTGTTTTTGACCTCGTAAAGAATCTTGTCTTGTAAAAGTTTTCATTGTCTTCATTCTCACTAGTGCTTAATGCTTTGATTGTATTGAGTGAGAAAACTATCAAGCAGAAGAGATGGAGTTTTTTATTCTACTTGAAATGTGCTAAGAAAGGGTGTTTTACTTGTATCAAGAAGAAGAAGATTGTAAGGGGTTTTGATTCTCACCCATTGAAGAAATTCACGTTAGTGAAAGGGAACTCCAAAGGGAGAAAGAAGAGAGGAAGAGGTCAAATGTGTTGGGGGACTAACCTCTATAAATCTTGTATTTGATCTTCTCACTCTTAATCTTATATTCATTAATTGCTCACATTCACATATATTAAGTATATTTTGTTCATAGATTTACATATAAGCAAAGCAATTTTACAAATAGTGAAATTGATTTTTAAGTAAGCCATATTAGATAAAACCTAATTTACCCCCAGATTGCAATTGAGCCAACATCCCCTCCTTTATCGCCGATCAAGAACAAAGTAAAACAAATTATATGCATGTGCTAAGTGCTTTTTTTATTAGCGACGTATTTGGCTATAAAGGTCTTTTAACGAATTTAATTCATTCATCTTGGCCCAATCTACCATAATATGATTTATTAAGTAGCTTAAGAATGAATTAATAGTGGTTGTACCAAANCCAATCTACCATAATATGATTTATTAAGTAGCTTAAGAATGAATTAATAGTGGTTGTACCAAAAATTATCTCAATGTATGATTTATCATCACCACATGATTCTCTTTAGGGTCCATCTCAGTCTCTCCCACAAATGTGACGACCTCACTGAATAACTCTCTCTTATTACAGACTGCAACCCATACCCATGTGAAGTTGGTCATAGTTGGAACCTTCTCTACCTTGTGATACCCAACTGCCGGATGGCAGTTGCGTATTCCGCGAATGTATGTTCTCACCTATTATTTTACTCTAAATTCCACTCACACCCCCCAAATGTCCTCACCTTCTCACTTTAACACCCTCGCTTCTCTCTACTCAAGCCTCCTGACATATTATTCTCTCTCCCCTCTCTCTCTCTCTCTCTCCCTCACACACACACACACACACACTCTCGCACATCTAGCTTCAATAAACCACCCACCAGTCACCACGACCTAGAAACAGAGTCGATTGAATGATGATGGACCCGAAGTTCGCTGGAAAGCCCATTAGGGCTCCATATCTAACCGGCCGGACAGACCTCGATCAGATGCCGGATACACCAAACCGTGGGGCCCACCACCGCCGGGCCGTGTCGGAGACCTTCTTCCGATTCCCGGACGTCGACGAGATCCTCTTGGATGACATGGTCGCCGACTTCAACCTCGACCTTGCCGACACTGATACACCCATGATGACCGCCGATTCAAGCAAGTCAGCAGACTCATCCAATGGCCCAGATAAGCCCAACAGGCCTGTGGGGTCCGTATCCCATTTTCGGAGTCTCTCTGTTGATGCTGACTTCTTTGAGGGTCTAGGGCTCACTTATGCCGGCGCCGCCGTGGACGGCGGAGATGCAGAGAATCATGCGGCGGCGGAGAAGGGAACGGTAGGTGGTTCTCATCACAGGCATAGTAACTCGATGGATGGGTCTATAATGGCGTCGTTTGAGGTGGATAGTGCTAAGAAGGCTATGGGAGCTGATAGACTTGCTGAGCTTGCCTTAATTGATCCCAAGAGAGCGAAAAGGTTTAACCTTTTCTAAACTTATTGGTTGGCTAGTTAATGATTCGTTTTGGGAATTAATTATAGGGAATTTCAGTGATTCTAACTTGGAATATGTTCTTGATCTGCAATTTATAAGGTTTTAGAATATTGTAATGTCATGTGGGTTTGACAAAATATTTTTTGGACTTTTTTTTCTTTATTTTGGATCTTTTCTATTCCTAATTATATTTGTTTTGTGATTTGAATACAGGGTTTTGGATTGATTGAGTGACAAAACGAACTAATTTGAATTATTTTTGCTTCATGTTTCTTGGGGTCTGTGGTTCCTGAGGAAATGTGAGAGAGCAAGGTTATGGGTCCTTTTTTTTGTATTTTTTTTTTTTTGAAGATGGAAATATAGCATTCAAAAGGGCAAAAAGTAAATAAAACAATATCAAGCATTTGATATAGTTAGCTTTAGTCGATTATATTGGATTTGTCCTCAATTTTCCTTTTCCTTTTTAATTTTTTTTCATCTTCATAAGTCATTTTATGTTCCTGAATTTAATTTAGTTTGTTACTCGTCTGAATTTTCTCTTTCAGATTCAATATGATTCAAATTAGTTTACTAAAAATGATCATGTTTTGAACTGATAACATGCTTGCTCTTTCTGCAATTTGTTGTAGAATTCTTGCAAATAGACAATCTGCAGCGCGTTCGAAGGAACGAAAAATACGATACACCAGTGAGCTGGAGAGGAAAGTGCAGACTCTTCAGACAGAAGCAACCACCCTCTCTGCACAGGTCACGATATTGCAGGTATAAATTCCATTGATACTTCTGTCATTTTGAGGACTGCATATGAATTTGGTTAGCACTTAATTATTTACTTTAAGTGAATTATTTTCAAAATTGATGATGTATTGTGAGGTATTACAAGACTGTAGTCTTGAAGGACATTCGTTAAACACATGTTCTTATAGTGAGTGTTCTTCTAGTGAGTGTTTAGTTGAATTTCTCTGTTTGAACTACTGCAGAAATGCTCTAAATGGCTGACACTAAGTTTGTATGTGTCTTAATCTTACAAAAAGTGTTGTAGTTGCAAAGCTTGAATCTGCATTTGCATGAGGTTTTATTAGAAGGAAACGTTCTATGGTTTAGTTTATTAGTGCCATTTTGCCATGTTCCCCTGGTGTAATGAAATTGCAATGCAAGTAATTACGGAGATATGACACTGAATGACTCTCTTTTCTTTTGCATACAGTGCATATTGTTTCTTCTAGAGACTTTCTGTAATTTTCTTGTCTTCAAGTTCTTTTAGTTTGGTTGATGTATGTTCTGGACCAATGCCTTGAATCCAAGGAACTTTAGCTTTACAGAGCATAGGAACACGTGGTGTTAAGTGGTGTTAAGTAGTAGTAAGCAAAGTATATAGGACTTTTCATTAATCATGCTGGAGTCAATAAATAAATTGTGACAGTTTCATATCCACAAATGTCCACTTTACTTGTCATCCCGAGATCCAGAGAGCTTGGTTTCTAAGTTCCACTTATGCCTATCTACTTCTTTAGCTTCTGGGGATGCTAAGTTTTCTGTTTACTTGAGCTAAACTCGAGTCCAGATTTACATTTACTAAATGTTTTGGCCATAAATTTGCAAAGTCTTCATGAATAGGTATACCTGTTGTTGGAAGTATATCTTTCTGTCAATATTCTGAGTATCATAGATTGACTATGACTTGTTTAAACGTACATAGAGTTGGCATCTAAGAAGCACAGATACGGACACTGGTATTGTATCTGACACGATATGGATACGGAAATACAATAAAATTCTAAAATATAGGACACGGATATGGCGAGGATATGGTTAATTAAAATAATACAATATATTTTTATATATATCATAACAACATTAATAATAACTAATAAGACAAAAACACATCCATAATTTGACCAAGCATCCTTAGTAGTCATTATAAGACGCCTCTGTCTCTATTTATATGTCTGTTGTTGCTATCTATTGGTCCAAAACCCTAGTTGTTCGCAGCCTCTGCAATTGCTCCCCCTCCCCATCTCTCTTCTTCTCCCTTTTTCTCTCTCATGTATTCTTCTACTCAGTTTTTCATATTTTTGTGTTTTGGCTTGAAAACAATAGTGTAAGCAAGTTAGCTTCTTGTTTGAATCTCTACAAGCTACGATCCAAGCAATTAATTCAACACAAATTTGCAATAGAAAGGATTTACCGGTATCACTCGCCTGTATCTGTGAAGTCGAACTGGCAGTCGCAGGCAGCAGATCTGAAAAGTCAAACTCGTAGTCGCTGACAGCAGATTTTCTCCTCCTCTACTCNTAATAACTAATAAGACAAAAACACATCCATAATTTGACCAAGCATCCTTAGTAGTCATTATAAGACGCCTCTGTCTCTATTTATATGTCTGTTGTTGCTATCTATTGGTCCAAAACCCTAGTTGTTCGCAGCCTCTGCAATTGCTCCCCCTCCCCATCTCTCTTCTTCTCCCTTTTTCTCTCTCATGTATTCTTCTACTCAGTTTTTCATATTTTTGTGTTTTGGCTTGAAAACAATAGTGTAAGCAAGTTAGCTTCTTGTTTGAATCTCTACAAGCTACGATCCAAGCAATTAATTCAACACAAATTTGCAATAGAAAGGATTTACCGGTATCACTCGCCTGTATCTGTGAAGTCGAACTGGCAGTCGCAGGCAGCAGATCTGAAAAGTCAAACTCGTAGTCGCTGACAGCAGATTTTCTCCTCCTCTACTCGTTGTTGCTAAAGGGAAATTCAGTTCCCCCTCCTCGTTCTCCTCTCTCTCTCTCTCACTCTCATGATTCAGTCATGCACTGGGATAAGTAGAGACGAAGGCTGAAGCCTTCATGACAATGCCCTTTTTTTTTCTTTTTCCAGGCCCAAAACGATGTCTCTTCTGCTTCTTTTTTTCATTTCAGCCTCCTCAGTTTTTAAAACAACATCTGAAGCCCCGCGCCGTATCCCACCCATATGCTAGTCGTATCCGGTTGAAAAAAATTCATTTCTATTGTGCAGGACACTTCCAAAAATGTCGGACATATGTATATCGTGTCTGATACTGTCACGAAAATCCCTTGGCGAGTATCTGTGCTTTCTAGGTTGACAGATTTAGAGCATAGTCAGTTTACTTGTAATGTTACTTGGACCGTGGGTCACTTTGGTATGGGTATGCGGTACGTGGTTCGACACTCTCTTAGGAACATGGTACGATGAAAATAGGCTTAGCTGGTGTGGTATTTTAGGTCACAATTCATGTTGGAACTCTTATCTAGATCGTTTTCACTACTATATAATATTACATATTATAGAATATTCATAAACACTAAGATAATTATCATTTATCTTACATTTGTGTACAATTTTCTATTATCTAATATAAATTCAATTAATATGTATTTTATATTTCTGCTACATGCTCCAAAACGAATCGATTTAGGATTAGTATTACAACTTAGGATTATATATTTTGGTCATCTGGATTGTGAACTCACTTCATTTGGGATCGATGTACCCAGATCGTGGGTCATCAAGACTTTAGTGAATTCTGGTAACTATGTAATTACTTTCAATGGCCAGCCACCAATTGAAATAAAATTTTAAAATTTAATTTGGAAAAGAAAGCTGTCATTTTGGAAATTTACATCCAAATTTCTTAAAATTCAGAGTTCTTATGGTTCATATTTACAAATCTTTGTCAGATTATGCTGGGAATGATGTGTGGTGGTGTTTGGGATCACTGTTGATGTGGCTTGCATCAGGATCAGTTTTTCCACTAGCATCTAATGTACACTAAAGCTGCATTTTTTTTTGGGTTACGTCTGTTCTTCACTTACTGGTTGTATCATACTTTCATATGCAAGTACACCATCTGCAGTGAAGAGTCAGTCAATAAGAGTTAAAGGTACTATGAGAACAGGAAGAAGGACAATTAATATGGGTCGGGGAAGTGAGAATGTTGGATTTGTCTCATGGTGTGTTTGCATTATTAAAATAGGAAAATTATTTACTCTTAAGTTTGCATGTGCATGTCTGCACACACTAATGTGCAAAAATCTAGGTGTTGCTTTGCTTGTCATGCTATAGCCAGTCCGAGATAATATGGTGGCAATCCAACACAATAGGTATTCTCGGTTTCACCATGTTTCCTTTATTTTCAGGTTTTATACGTTTTACAGTTTGAGGGGCTTGGTGCAACCAAGGCTTACAAAGATATTCCACATGCCACTTTGTCACCAAATTTTTTTTATATTTGCCAGGGTTATCTCGAGTTTAATCTATGTTTTCTTGTACTGTTTTTCACCCTTGCTTGAGAATGGGTCAAACCGTTACAGTATTATCTTGGAATTTTAGGGTTGTCTTTCCTCTAGTATCATACAAGATTCTGGTGTTCACATTCTGGGGTATTCTTCTGGTACTTAGAATTTTACAGTCCCCCTTTTTTGAATTTTAAGAGGCATGGTAGTGTTCATATTCACATCTCCTGCCCTTTTCGTTTTCCCAACATTTTCCAATGTGGTTGTTGCATGATAGCTCATAGCACATACTTGCTCCTTATGTTGGCCCTTTTTTTTTGGACTGTCATTTTGACTCCAAATGCGTAATAATGTCAGCACATGGTGTCACTTGTATCACGAGTTGACTTGTGGCTGGAACTTGCTTGTAATCCTAGTTCATCTGTGCTGGTTTTCCACATTCTAATTCATTGTAGGATCTTCTAGTATATGAACTTTATTTTTGGTTTGCACACCCATTTTGCTTAGGTTGATGGTATTACATATCTAAGGTAACATTCATTCAGATGTTATGTATTCAATTATGGGTCCTTCAATTACAGTCTTCCCGGGCTGCATACTTCTTGTTGGGATATTGGTGTGAAGTTTACCCACCAAATGCAATAACATAGGAAACAGGAATACAAAAAATGAGATACGTGAGACTCCAGACTCATTTTATCATTCCTGCATCGCAGAGGGACACTTCTGGATTGACTGTTGAGAACAAGGAACTCAAACTTCGGTTAGAGGCTATGGAACAACAAGCACATCTTCGAGATGGTATGTTTTCTGGAATTTGTATGCTATTTTCATAAAGATCATTTGGGAAGGATACATGAGAACCAAGTGATTTCATAGTTTTTCATTCATCATTCTGTTTGGCTCATTTAAGTAAAAGCTATCATCTTTGCAAAATATCAAAACCAGTTACATTCTTCACTGTCCTTGCTGCTCATGGTAGTAAAATAATATGCACTTGGACTCATTTTAATTCCTATTCAAAATGGTATGAAATCATTTAGAGAGGCCTCTAATTGAATTTTTTTTACTTACATCTTCCTGTGGCTTGCAGCTCTGAATGAAGCATTGAGGGAAGAAGTACAGCGGCTTAAGATAGCTGCAGGCCAAATACCAGTTTCCAATGGAAACAACTACAATGTGGCAATGCAGCCTCAATTTTCCTCCCACCAGCAGACTTTCCATCATTTTGGTAACCCCCAGACGCAGCATCCCCAACAGCAACAGCAGCAGCAGATGCCTCGTTCAAACTCTAACAACCAGACTCTTTCAGGACAGCCCCAACCTAGCTTCTTGGACTTCAATAAACGGGCTTGACAACATCCCCGGGTATTTGAACTAGACGGTAACTCATTCGAGATAGCATGTGTATATGAATATGTATATGCGTTGCAGATAAAGGATGTGAAGGGTGTTACTCTGTTCAGTTCTTTGTGGCAGTGAGGTATACTAGCTTTGTTACTCGTAGGATAGAAATGATGGTGTAGAACAATTTAGATATTAAATGGATGTTATTTTTATGTATTCTTTAATTTCTAGAGAACAGTTTTATTATTGAAATTGAATGGTCTTAGCTTCATATTTTGTGCTGCTTGATACATGTAACCATTCCATAACCGACCCGTGTGCAGGTTAAGATCTAAGCCAAATTCCAAGGGATTATATAGCTATCCTGTAAGTTCAACATGCACATTACATAACTGAGTGCCTGGGATCAGAAACTTGGCTAGTGTGGTGGTCATGAGGAAGAATACCATTTTCTTAGCCATCGTAGGTTAGGCCGAATAGCCCGAGGCATAGCTGTTTGCAAAGGGTGGCGTGGGATGTCAGACATCTCTCAGTGGTTGGAGAAGGATGGAAAGAAAGAATAGTGAAAAGAATTAAACTTTCCATCTTTGAAGGAAAAAAATTATTTTTTCTCTTTTTTATTTAGTAGAAGGGATGAAAAGTAGAAGTGATATTTTTTTTATCGTTTGATATTTGATGAAAAATAAAATGAAAGGAAAAATATAAATGTTCAATTTATAATTTTATCCTTAAATAACGAATTGTGTATTGATATCGTATATATATTAGAATGTATTTAATGACCAAAAATTATACTTATTTTAAAAAGCATATTGTCACACTTTTTCTTCTTATTTTCTACCCTCTTTTTTGGGGGGGTGGGAGTTGTGAGCTGGAGGGAAATGCTCTCCCTTTTCTTTTTCTATTTCATTGTACTTTAATTTGTTACCAAACAATAGAAAATTTTTCCATCCACTCAATTTTTCTTTCACCCAATTTTTTTTTCAAACCAAACAGGGCATTAGAGTGAGAGGTCGGACCAAACCCTTTTATCTCGGTTTAGTACAAACGAATCTTGTTGGATGAATTGGTCCATGATCAATTGCCATACTTCTTAGTTCAATTTTTCCCTACTCGATCCAAGGCTTCACCTCTCGAATTTGGAGGCCGAAAAAAGGGTTAATCCTCACCGGGGGCGGAGCTAGGATTTCCCATTAAAGGGGGCAAACTATTACAGAAAACAAAAATTACCAGTTTATACAAAACATTTCCAAGCACGAAAAAATATTTGAAGATTCAACACTAGATTACTATTAAAACAGTAAAACCAGTTTCTTTTTAAATTAAAGAAAATATGAACAACAAACCATAAAATAACTTATGGTATTACATTTCAACTCAATCTCATACTAAAGTAGAATATGATGTTATTTCAAATCTCAAAATTCGTCTATAATGTAGTGATGATAAACTAAATTTTTAAAAATTCTCTTTAATATACAAAACCACATTATCCATGACATTATTGATTTTATTTTGCGAAAACTAGTTGAAACTTGAAATCATCATTTATTTTGTTGATTTACTCAATTCAGAAACTAAAACATTGATTTATTTTTTTTTTT